ACCCCAATAGCCCAGAGGGCTCTCTGGATGGTTTGCAAACATTAAAGCCCCAAATAACCCCCCCTCTGTCTATGGATGATGCATGCAGTCTTGACAGTCAAGAACCTTTAGCCTAGATCAGTCTTGCTAAACTGCATCGCATTGAGAGAACTGTCTTGAAATGACAGCACATATAAGCACATTTTAGCTTTAATACATCTAAACACTCAAGTGAGTTAAGGTTGTTGGCAGATGCCACAGCTATTCTCTGTCTATCTATCATAGCCATATACCTACGTGATTTAATGCTCTTGTTATCTTATAACCCTTATTGAATTGCCTTCCACTGCACTTCTCTTAGCGCCCATGAAGGCACAGGCTGATGTTTCTGTAGCGAGCCAGGGGTTTCTTATCTTGAAGTTCTGCTTTAAAACATGAAAGAAATATTCCCTCATAGCATACGTATTGACTTGATTCACACATAATACTTCTACACAGGGTTCCTCCCTGCACCCCTCTATCAAGGGTTTATCTGCCAGACAATAGAACAAACTCTGCTTTGTTATCTCAGTCCTTGGATTGCTTGTTTCAACCTCCTTCAACTGCTCCCGCTCCCAAATGGCTTTGTGATGATGTGATACTAGCACGTATAGCAAGCCACTCTTGCCCACCACTTTGATAGCCAGGCAAACCATTCCATGAAAAACCTACAGTTCAAGTTCACATGTAAGAACAACCCATTGTTAAATTGACTCAACAGCAATCCATGGCTTCTCTTTCTGTGTTGTTCATAGTTCTCAGATGGGTTCATCCATCGTGACAGCCCAGAATTCAATGACCCATATGTTAGAATTGTACAGTATGTGAACTAGATCACTGCATATAACTTGTTTTGTAGTTCCGCGGTGGCAGTCAAAACACTGAAGCCAGTATTACAGCAATCCCAACACTTAATATTTCCTATGATATGGCCACAGGTCCTTTATGTACTACTTTCTCCATAATATCTTTCTCTGGAAGCTGTTTTTTTCCAGTGTTTCTAATATGGCTAATAATGAGGGCCAGAAGTCAAAGCAAGTGCTCCACGTTCATGAGTGCACCAAAACAGAAAACTCCAGAGGTAGTTAAACAAGGGCTGTTCATGAAAGGTTATGCAATCTACATAATATAGTTTCTAATGAAACCCTCCACGGGGGGCGGGGGGTTGCCCAGTCAAAGAAAGCAAGAAACACCTCCCAGGTCTGATCACTTCCTGGCTTCCTGATTCATAAATGTAGGCCAGCTCTCCCTTAGCTGGTGCACTCCAGATATTTTGGACCACAGCACCCATAAGTACCACCCACTGGTTGGGGCTGACAGGAATTGCAGTGCAAAGCATATGGAGGGTACCATTTGGGGAGGCCGGAGCTGAGGCTCCAAATCATGGAACCTGCAGGCAGAGAAGAGTGAGAGCACAGGCAGCAGTGGACGACCAGAGAGAGAGGGAGAGAGAGAACACACAAGGCTGGGCTTCATGGGATATGCAATGTGCCGCAGCTGTGGAGACGGTTGGGGGAATGTGGCACCACAGAGACTCCTCCTCCCTTCATCAGATGAGCAGGCAGGAAGTCCATCCCTGCCCAGCCTTGTTTCACCAAATGGAAATCATACTGAATATGCATGGGCAGCATTCAGGCAAGCTGCCTTTCCACGTAGAGGGGGGCAAAGAGCAGGTGGTGGGTCGTGCAGGGAGGAGCCATACACCTTCCTTTCCTTCTGCACGATGGCTAGATCAGGGGACGTGCACTGCCTTACCTGCTGAGGCACGGCAGGCAGGGGAGCAGCTGCTCATCGTCACCTGCAAACCAGCTATCACGGATCTACTAAGCCAGGACTCCCAGGCTGATGATAGTGTCTGGGACAAGGTAGCAGCACTTGGCAGAAGCAGCAAAGAAAGTTACAACCAATGAAGCTAATGAAGTTGTCTATTCAGAATGTAAAAGACGACTCGGGAAACATAATAAAGCAAATCTCTCTCCATAATAGAATGCTCGTTCTGAACTGTGAGTTCTGCTAGTGGCATCTCCGAGCAGATGGTTCTGCTAGCTCACTGCCAGGGCTCTCTTAACAGCCACCACATGCTGGATCGAGAAGGAGCTGCAGCAGTGGCAGCTCCAATAAAAATGCACAGACGGCTGCAATGCTGAGACAATTGGAGCCCATTACCACATAACAATGCCATCAACACAAAGAGTGTCCACTGCACACCGGCAGGCTTGTCGTTGGCTTCATCTGCTCACCCTGGGGATCGAGTGGAGAACTCTGGAGGGGATCACTGTATTCTGGGAGGGGCAGCATTGTTTCTATACCCAAGCAATTCTGTGGATAGCCTGCTATTCAGTTCCTATGGGTTCAGAACTGGTTTGGCAAGGCAGCAAGAAATATGGAAAGTGGTTACTCACAGGGCCAGTCCCAGTCAATAATGCACCTTAAAATTCTTGAGAACATTTCAAGAGAAACTGTGTCACCAGGAGCTGTTGTAGCTTAGTGCCAGGAACACAAAGCCTCTTCAGTGTTGCTCCATGAGGTGAATAGAACCACTGGGGGCTACAGACTGGAACAGTCCATTGGGAGGGAAGGATTCTTTGGCTCTGGAGTGATTCTGCCTATCCAAACTGGCCACTGGACCTCATCACAGGCTTACTGATCAAGCTGAGATGAGTCTAAACATTCTGGCTGGTGCCAACTCCTGGCTCCCACCCCAAATTCTTTTTCCTGTCCTTTGCTTGATGGCCACGCATGGTTTAGCTTGGATAGGCAATGCCAGGTAAGTGTAGGGATGCACCAATGCTGGAAAGTCCAACTCTTCTGAGCTCAATGGACTTCCTACCTGCTTCCAGTTCAATGATTGGAAGTTGGTTGAGTCACGCTCCCCGCTTCCCATGGTCTCCCCTCTCTAAGAAGGGCCATGGTTTGCACAGTTTAAAAGTAATGCTAAGGAAATTTGCACGAACAGTGCTACTGACATACATTTATGCATTTTCTGCAAATTTCACAAACAGCTTAGTTTACATGAATTAGAATCCAGAAACCATTGTTCTAGTGGTACCTCTGCAAACTGGAACTAGAACTGCACAGATTTTGGATCCCATTTCAGTGGATGGCACAAAATTGCCTGATTTACACGAATATCTTCAAAGTTGAAAAATGACTCGCTGTGGTCCATCTTACAGATAGAAGTCTGCTAGCTGATTTGGCTCACAGAACATCAAGTCAGCACTAGGATGGGGCTAATGAGCCAGGATCTCTCTCTTTCTCTCTCTCTCTGTGCATGTGTCAAATTGTGAAAGTGCACTGGAAAGACATTAGGTCAGAATGACATAAAATCCGAAACAGTACAGAGAAAACAGAGAAGAGAAGCCAGGGGCACGTCTGTGATTGAACACCGCAACCTCTGCTGTGACTAAATGCTGTAACCTCTGTTCCTGAGATAAGCCAGTTGTTGCTCTTAGTGGCAAGGTTTGTTTGTAAGAGAAAGCAGGATGAAGAACTTTGGAAAAGAGCTCTGTGTTTAGCTACGCTTCTTTGTCATGCTTTGTACCATGTACACATTTCTGCCGGTCAACTGGGTGCTAACCCTTGAGACTCTCTCTCTCTCGTGATCTGACACATGTATGTGTGTTTCTGAAAGCCATTCTAATAAAGCCAGCAACTGGTATTCTTTACCTCTCAAAGTACCTGAGCTTTTTTTTTTTTTTTGATATTGAAAATTTTCACTACTCATCAGATTCTCACGTATGCCTAAGTTGAATGAATGGAGCTTCCACTTTGCAATTCCAGCTCCTACGAAAGAGACGCATTTGCATATCTCCCACAGGAGGTTGCACATATGTACCCTGTTTTGGACCACACACGAAGCATGAGGAGAGGAAGGAAGCCCAGTTTACGCATTTCCTCTCTCTCACTGCTTTCCTGGAACTGCTAACGCACTCAGACAGGGTCTGCTTCCCTTCCAAGCGACTGCCTGAAACCACTATTCCTATTTTGGAAGCAGCTATGGCTTTGTATCTTCCCAGAAATGCCACCTCATCAGACTGCATCCCTTTGACCAGTGATGCTGAAACTTTTACAGACCAAGTGCCCAAACTGCAACCCAAAACCCACTTATTTATAACAATGTGCCAACACTGCAGATTCAAATATGCCAGGAGGACAGCACAACATTAAAAGAATCTCAGTCTCTTAATTAGAACATCTCTTTGCTAAATCTTAGATATTAAATTTCAATTTTTCATAAGGAAACTCAAAGCTAAAATCTTATGTAAATAAAAATGAATGTATTAAAACTCACAGCCAGTCCAAGCAAATACCTCTCTCTCTCTCTCTTCCCCCATCCATCCTTGGCAGCACACTGACTGGCCATGCGAAAGCTCAGACGAGTCACAGCTAATGAGTCGCGGCTCGTGACGTCATTGCCTGGCACCAATAATCCTTTCTGAGCATGCACATGACCCCTATGTGCACTGTTACCTGATGCCCGGCTGCTGGGGCGATGCTGGGGCGACGTGGCTCGTGTGCCGACAGAGAGGGCCCTGTGTGCCCGCTGTGGCACCCGTGCCATAGGTTCACCACCACTGCCTTAGACTTTCTACCATGGACATCTTCAGGCTATAGCACTTCCTATGAAGACTGAAACAGAAGACTGAACTGGCGTTCATGACAAACGTTCAACTTATGCAATGGTTCAGTCAGCTCTCACTAGTAACCATTTAGCTAAAACAAACAAGCAAACAGCTCCACATGATCAGTGAACAAATCAGTACCAAGCAATTCTCTCATGGCAGGATGCCTGAAGAACTTGCACAACATTCTTGTTTTTAATTGATAGCTTTATGTTTCAATTTGATTCATATTGATTTTATTTGTGTTGCACGTCTTCCCGGGCACAATTGGCTATAGGGAAACTAATGAAGAGTGGAAAAACAGAACAGACAAACGGAAAAGCAAACAAAGCACATGGCAGTCCTGTTTGGAGCTCTTACCTGTATTGGGTGACTGCAGGGTTGGCCTTAGCAGAGCAGTGAAACTTTATGGTGTTGTCCTCAAGGACAGGCTGAGGTTCTACTGACAGATTGACGAGGGGTGGATCTGTAAAGAGACAGCAGCCAATCTATTAGCCATCACACCTCTGAGCGTGGAATCGTATCTTCCTGCTGTGTGGCTTCCATGCATTGTTTCGTAGCTGTGACGGATGGTGGTGCAGGAGCTAACCAGCAGGCCTTTTTGACCTTAGTGTGCTAAAAGTCTGGTTTTCTCAACATGAAATTACATTTTTGTAAACAAAAGATGGCTGCAAGAACACGTTTATGAGCAATTATTTCTGGTTCTCCAGAGTTTTTCCTGAGTGACTTTGGGAAGGTCATTTTGCTTCTGTGAGTCTCTGTCTCTCTGCGTATATGCACACAGAGGATTTGTTGACCCAGAGAGTTAACTCCACAGGCTGAAGATGGCAAGACTTTTCCTTTGCAGTGTGAAAGCTAATCTATACCGTCATCAGCATCACATGGTGTTATTTTTCCTGAACTAGACCACATGAGACCCTGAAAGGGAAGCTTATGCAGTAAGTTAGGGAAAAATCATTTTAAAATCTCATTTTAGATTTTGAAAGTCACTTTTATTTCATGTCTTCCCCTTAAAGCCACCCTTGTATTTGTTTTGTTGTAGCTTCATTCCTGTCAGTTTCATTTTTGTAGTTTTTACATTGACTTCAGTGGAGACCCGGCCTGTATGGTTTGTCTACAGCCTTACCCTTGTTATTTCTTATCTACATGGTATTAAAATGTGTCAGCAATCTACTACCTGATTGGTCGTCTTGCCTGCCAAATTGCAGTTAAGTTGAACCAAGAAACCCCATCATATTAATGATTAAATAAGCTTCCTATTACTTTCAGGAGAGACCCATCCTTTAGAGCGTGCATTTTTTAAAAGAAGTGTACATTTTCCAGCTGTAAATGGAAATTCATGAATCTGTGTACATTTTGAGAAAACAAGCATTTTTGAATCATTTGAGAACTGAACTGAAATGCTTGTCCATCCCTACTCTTAACTTTGCGGTTTACTATTTTAATGGCATTCACTTTTCAGATGAGAATGCTAATGCTAACTTCCAGATAGAGCAGTGAATGGGGTCCCATTTTGGGGGGAATGCTTAAAGAGGTGCTAAGTGATTTTCCTTCACTCTGGAAGCTGACTTATCCTGCAAGTTTGACAGTTCTGACAGCTTCCATTTCAATTCTGTAGAGAGGGCTCTTCATACTAAAAGAGTATTTAAAAAAACTCATTGCATGTCACTGTTGTTGTCCAGTTTTTGTAGTAGCAGGTCAGATCCTGCCCCCCACCCCAATGCATTTTATACACATGGAAGTCTGACACGAAGGATACTTCCAACCTTCATATTGTACCTCGATTATTCTAGAATGTTCTAGAATAATCATTCTGCATTATTCTAGAATGTTCTTTTTATTCCTTGAGTACCACAGATAAGTTGTTCTCTACATATATGAAGAGAAACTATGCAGTTTTTTTTATCACCACTTGGATGTCCAGGAGTGGGGGGAAATCCCCCCATCAATACAACCTATACCATGGCTGTGTTCAGACAATACAAAAGCCATGGTGTGATGCAGAAACCACAGAGCAAACCAATGTTTCTTATCATGATTTCAAAGCTCAGACTTACCATGTGAAATAGCATGACTGGGTTCAGAGAACATGACAGACCAACAATGGTAAAGAACCAGCATGGTTTGATGTGTTGTCTGAACCCATTCAATGTGTGTGTGTCTGTAGGAGGAAATGTATCAAAAGCCTGTGACTATTTATTGGTGGAATTTACTACAAGATTACAGCAAACAATATGGCTATTGTTTGATACAGAAATGTAATGATGAAGGAAAGTACAAGCAGGCTGTAGTATCTCCTCTGTCATGGGAGACAATTCTAAGTCTGAGGACAGATAACAACATATCAAGTGGTAACATACAATGATCCAAATGTGCTACAAAATGGTGAAGAGAATTCAAGCACATATGTGCATCCAACTGGCAATCCAGCAAAGACGTGTGTGCGTGCCCGCACACAGGTGGGTGAGTGCATGTACACACACTTGCTGGGGTATTACAATAGTCTAGTTTATACAGATCGCAGATGACATGATCAATCTGTTCCTGGACTGTCCTATGCCAGGTGACAGCTGGGAAATGACATGCAGTTCCCCAGTCTAAAATGCTTCCTATTTTTAGAAAAGTAGATACAAGGGAGCAGATTCTAACCTAACCATGAGACCATGTGCTTGCAGGTTTTTGCTGCATAGGCATTAAACAAATGCACAAGCAAACATGCTCAGATAAACAGATGTCATACCTACAGCTTGCAGGCTGAAATGGTATAGTTCAGAACCATGCAGTATAGCCTCTGTTGCAACCTGCAAGCAGCAACTTACACACAGGGTCATATGCACCGATTCCAGCTATGGAATATTCCTGGTGTCAAACAGCAGTCTTTGAATAGTCAGCAGATGGCTCTTCTTTATAAGCAAGATGCCTTCAACAGTCTTGGGCAGGGGGGTGGGGGCAGGCTTCCCTAATTTGTAAACCATTCACCAAATCTTCAACATGTAGCCCTTCAGCCACTTTGGACTGTCTGTCTGTCTGTCTGTCTGTCTGTCTGTCTCTTTCTTTACAAAAAGAAGAGAAGAGAAGAGAAGAGAAGAGAAGAGAAGAGAAGAGAAGAGAGAAAAATAGGCCAAAGTGGCTGAAGGGCTACATATTGAAGCTGGTGAAGAGGGGGTTAATTCCTGTGTGGCAAATTAAGTTGTCACAGAGAAAATGTGAAGCAGGAGGCTCTTGTCATGCAACAGATCTGTTCCCTCTGTACTGTTTGAGCCAGATGGGCTCAATTTCCCAATTGTGTTCTGGCTGACACAATTGCTGGAGGCGGATGCTCCATTATGCACTGTTTGGCATCTTGTACCAACTGAGAACTAATCCATGAGCCCTGCTGGTGGGCAGGTCAGGAAGAAATAGCATAAACACATACACACAGAAAATCAACACAAAACTATCAAAGCAGAGGGCGTCATGGCTTGGAGTCCCATATATACATCCATTCGGAGAAAAACATCATTATGGAGGCTAAGCTGGGTTCATAGAAGACCTGTGAAGTTGAGCTTAACAAAATGCACATTTTGTCTGCACTGAGGCCATTGCAAGGCACGGAAAGGGGGAAGGAGAAGCGGGATGCCTGTGGAAGCCAGAGTGGGGAGAAAGATGGGGAAATTCTGTGCATGGTGAAGCAAGGTCACCGTCACACCTATAGCTGAAACCTGGGTCTCATGTATGGATGAGGAGGCACTTCAGAAGACTCCATGCATCACCTTCCATTGTCATCCTCAGGGCCACCGAAGAAGAGAAGGTTTCAGGGCGGCTGCTGCTGCTAGCAGTGGACGGATCATAAGAAACAAGAAGAGACGTGCTGGATCGGCCCAAGGACCCAACTAGCCCAGCCATCTGTGGCCAAACAGCTGCTTGTTCCAGGTGGCATCACTTAAGTGACAGTGATATGAGGGAAGTGGCCAAGTGAAATTGGCCAATATCAAGTGAAATTGATATTGGCAGAGGCACATTCACTGTATACGCTGTGCCTCACTTTTCGTTTATTCCACTCTCAATAATCTGTATGAATTCTGAACCCAGTGAGGAGGATTTTGCATGAGGTGACTGTCTCTGGAGTTGCCCGATGTAATTGTATCTCTCTTAAGTCCTAGTTGGTTCAATAGATTTCTTCTAAGTTTAACCAACACTGGATACAGTCCCTGGTGCTGGACCAGTAGTAGCCTCTTCACACATGCAACCCACCTCTGGTACTGTGATGAACCTGTTCGGTTCAAACCTGCCATACTCCCCACTTATCTGAAAAGGTGTCCTTGGAGATCCATCAGGTGCCCTGTATGTGCAGCACAATCCTGTGCAAGCCTCAAAAATCCTGTGGGATTATTCCCAGGTGAGTGTGCACAGTAATGTCGACTGAAAGAATTCAACACTTCCTCCAATATAAATATTCAAAAAGGAGAAAATACTCCCAGGTCAAGAAGGCCCATTATCTTTCCTCACCTCCTCTGGATCTTCACCATCTTCTCCCACCAGACAGAAATGCCTAAGCCAACCTGCATTTAATGTGCATGTAACCATACAGATGAGAGTAAAGGGTGGCTGCAAATCCCATTTAAGGAAATGAAATTCAGTGCTTTGAACCGTTCCCATTTAACACTGCACTGTGTAATAGTTTCAGGGGCATGTGCTAATTTGAAAATGGCATTTATACTCTTTCATCACCCTAAACTTCTCTGCCAAGTCCTTATTGGTGTCATGGGTCCTTCAGCTTTTAAGGCTCCTGCTTTTTTTGTTTCCC